CTTTATTATCGCTTTCTGGCCCACGTGTGATAACGTCCTAAGAAAACCGTGGAAGAAGAAGAAGACTCTGAGTGGTTATGTTTTCTGGAACACTTTAACCACTTCTGGCCATCAGAGAGTTCATGAGTGTCAGAGGGATGCATTTTACTAGCCTTATGAACATTTTGAGCCTTTTCTTGCCATACTTAAATTGCCCAGCATTTTCGACTGATAGAGTCACAGCTCCTGCCTCCCAATCCATGGGCCCCACAGCTTCCCTTGCTATGAGGGAGATCCAGTCATACAACTTCCAGGGAAACTCCTGACCATTAATAACCAAGGGAAGGAGGGAAGTGGGAGCATCCACCACACACATACACTGGAAGTTGCGCCATGTGCAAAAGAGGGACTAGCTCTCCCTCTTAGGGTGGTAAGGTTGCTTCACAGGTTGTGAAGCCCTGCCTGTGAAGCATGAGGAAGGAGTCAGACCTAGCATGAAGGATTGCCTCCCCACATTGCAGGAAAACTATACATATAGGTTGCTTAAGGGACAATTTATTCCTCCAGTGGGTTCCTAGCTTTGAAGTGCCGACTTAAGTGAAACTATATAGTAGGGCTACTAAATACAAAACAACTCTTTCTATACTGATCTTCAGATGTGATTCTAAAAAGGATTCTAAATTGTTGCTGATCTTTGGATGTGATTCTAAAAAAGGATTATAAATCCCATCAACAGTGTGATTCAGCAGCTAAAACGGCCAATGCGATTCTAGGCTGCATCAATAGAAGTGTAGTGTCTAGATCAAGAGAAGTAATAGTGCCACTCTATTCTGCTTTGGTCAGGCCTCACCTGGAATAATACTGTGTCCAGTTCTGGGCACCACAATTCAAAAAGGATCTTGACAAGCTGGAGCATGTCTAAAGGAGGGTGATCAAAATGGTGAAAGGTCTGGAAACCATGCCCTATGAGGAGAGATTTAGGGAGCTGGATATGTTTAGTCTGGAGAAGAGAAGGTTAAGAGGTGGCATGATAGCCCTGTTTAAATGTTTGAAAGGATGCCATACTGAAGATAGAGTAAATTTATCTTCTGCAGCTCCAGAAAATAGGACCCAGAGCAATGGATTCAAACTATAGAAAGAGGTATTCCACCTAAATATTGGGAAGAACTTCCTGACAGTAAGAGCAGTGGAACACATTCTTTCAGAGTGTGGTGGAGTCTTTCTTTGGAGGTCTTTAAACAGAGACTGGATGGATGGCCATCTGTCAAGGGTCCTTTGATTGTGAGTTCCTGCGTGGCAGAAAGGGGTTGGACTGGATGGCCCTTGAGGTCTCTTCCAACTATGATTCTATGATTCAATCTGCCTGATAGCAAAGGCCATGGACACCACAACGGGTTGACTGCCTTTATTTCCAACCAATCAATATGACAGAACTGGGCTGGACTTGCTACCTTCTTGCTGTCCTTTTATTAGTGTGTGAAAACCTTTCTATTCTGACAGATTTTTAGGAAATGGCTGGAAGGGATTTTAACAGTGTGCCATTCAATTTTTGTCTTTTTTTTAAAAAAGGGTTTAATTCTGTAGCTGGTTTAATTGTGTTTAAAAATACATTTTTAAATATTTTACTTATTTCTTTCCATGTGTTTTCATCCGTTTTTCTTTTAATTTTTGTAAACTGCCTCGAGTTCCAGTTGGGGTGGAAGATGGGAGACAAATTAATAAACAAAGAAAACCATTACTACTGCTGCTGCTACTACTACTACAATTATTACTATTATTGTTATGCTTTCTTCACAAGTACTTGGCTTACCAGATGCTGTGGACAGCTGACTAGGGACAGCTGTCTCCTACTCCATAAACGTCTGGAAGACAGAATGCTGGAGTCAATAGACGTTTCATTATAAACAGCATATCCATTCTTTATGCTCTTATAAATTTTTAGCATTGCTGTCCTTTTCTTATTTTTCTCCCCCAGTTGTGTATGAGCCGCCTCCACCAACTCCTTCACTGCTGAACATTCTGGTTTATTCTCTGCTTCCCATCATTGCCCTCTCCATTGCCATCCTCCTGGCCTTCTGGATGTATCGTCACCGCAAGCCGCCGTACGGACATGTTGACATTAGTGAGGTATGTGAGAAGTGAGCTGGATCTACAGATGATGGTGGGTGCAGATGGTAAAACTCTTTCCAACTTCTACAAACTGGCTCTGAGAGGAAGTGGACTGCCTTAAATGTCCTGTGGATTCCCATGGCTCCCATGGTTTCAACAAACTTCAGGTGCAGCTGTCTAAATATGGCTGAAAATAATCATATAGGATTATACTTTTTTAATATTTTTTATTAAGAATTAAAAATTAAAACATAAAAAATGAAGAAAAACATACAAATAACAAATAACTACAGACACAACTTACATCAAAAATAACATTAACAATAATAACAAATAAAAAAAAGGAAAAGACAAGCACACCAACAAGACTATACATAAAATATCAATTCCTAAGCAGTACAGGGGGATTAAACAACTGATAATCATAATAACTACATTATTTCCTTTTCTGTTTATATATCACAGACATTAATTTAACAAAATAAAAGGCATAGTCTTATACTTATAAATCCATTTAGGGGTATTAACTCCAATCCCGAAAGTTTAACTAATTATATATATATTTATATATATTTAAGTATTTTAAATAATTAAATTACAGCTGTGCTTTGTGTACCAGAGACACTGTGCCACAGGTTAGAATAATCCTAAAATAATTATATAGGATTATTCTAACCTGTGGCACAGTGTCTCTGGCACACAAAGCACAGCTGTAATCTAAGCAGGTTAACTCAGATGTAACCTCTGCTACGACAGATGTTAGGTATGCAAAGCACAGTTCAGTTTCTCCAGTTTTTGTTGTGTGTCTTCAAGCTGTTTCTAACTTATGGTAACCCTAATGTGAACCTCTCAGAGAGGGTTTGCCTTTGCCTTCATCTGAGGCTGAGAGAATGTGATTTGCTCAAGGTCACCCAGTGGGTTTCCATGGCAAAGCAGGGATTCGAACCCTGGTCTCCAGAGTTGTTTGTAGTCCAGTGCTCAAACCACTACACCAACATTGAAATACTCTTCTCTTTAAAATATCTTGGAATATTTAAGGTTTTTAAAGAGCAGGGTACATAAACCTTTAACATCTTTGCTCAGAATTTATCAGAGGCAAGCAGGGAGACCTATCCTTATCTCTGATCACAGAGACTTAGCCCAAATATTTTTAATTCTTATTTTCCTTTCTTTTTCTTTTCATTATAGTTAGGATGGGTGGTGGTGGTTTGGAGTCCTGTCATGCATTAGTTTTACACCTTTTTCTTTTCTACCTTTTCCTTCTTTCTGTCTTTTTCTTTCCTGAATGTATCTTGCTTTGCTTGTAAATTAGATTGTTCATGTTAAAAATGTAATTACAAAATATATATATAAAAAAGATAAGAAATGGCGCCACAACAAATGACAGTTCCCAGAATTCCACAGCATTGAGCCAGGGCAGTTACCGCAGTGTCAAATCGGGTTATTTCTGCAGTGTAGATGCAGCCTAGGTATTTTATCAGCTTCAACTGCTGGTCCTTTGAAGACTTGTTTCTATGGAGCTCTCTGGTAATCTCCCATTCCTAAAATTAAATAGGATGAACCCTCATTGGCTTTTATTGCTTCTTCCCATCTGAATCTGGCCCAGTTCTATGATCTTCAGGGGTGGCATGTCTCTCTTTCCCACTACTTCACAGATATGTCTGCTGGGAATACGGGATAGGGTCTTCTCTGTGACTGTTTCCAGACTTTAGAAGTACCTCCCTAGGGAGTTTAGGGTGGCTGTTTGCTGTCTTTTTGGCGGCAGAGAAAGACCTTTCTGTTCTGGCAAGCCTTTGGTAATTGATTGTGAGTAATAAAAGAGCTTTTCAGGTTTTGTACTGCTTTTAATCTTTGTTTTTAAGTAATATTTTAAATGGTTTTAATTCGATTGGTAGTTTTAACACATTTTTAATCTCAGCTTTTGTACTTTTTTTAAAATTTCATTTTTAACATTTTTTTACATTACTTAAAAGCAAGAGAAGATGATACACACAGTACATCTTTTTACATATTCAAATACTACCATATCTTCATATTTCTGCAACTACTCCTATCAATATTAAAGTAAACTATATTTTCTTTAATGTAAATATATACAAACTATACCATTTCCATAGAAAGAAAAGAGCTAAAAAGGAAAAGTAAAAAAAAGAAAAGACTAATGATTATTTAGGAAAAAAATATTCTCTATTTTCCCATTTACTTATCTCTATAATCTCTATAGTATCTTACATTATTTCCTGTTTACAAAATTCCAAAATCATTTTCCATTTTTTCCCATATTGCTGTGACGTTTTATCTTTTGTACGTTTTTGACTATGTATTTTTATTATAATCATTTGTCTTTTGTAAGACGCCTTGGATCCAAATCTCAGGGAAAGGTGGGATAGATCATATATGCTTATCCCTGGTTCTTCAACCCATTACCTGGGATGAGAACAAGCCCACCACCTATAGACAATTAGCCATATAGTGAGATGGCTGTCTTTACTATTGTGAAGTCAGATTATTCGGAATGGTAAATTCCACTTCATAATATGGACACATGCAGCTGGTGGCTCTTAGTTTAGGATTAGTTTACTCAGGTAGTAGAATTAAACAGTAGAGGCCTAAGGTGGTTGAATAGATTGTACACCTTCTGATTGCAGATGAGGGATCACTTTTTAAAAATTCTCTTATACCACCTGAAATGGAAACTAGCACTGTGGGGAATGGGATAAGTTGGAACCTTTCTTAGTACTTTGATAGATTCTTTTAATTGCATTCAATTCAGAGGAGGGAAAGAGAGGGGATTATGCCAGTCCCAAGTCAAAGCCACCCAAACCCTTCAATAGTACTTTTTAAAACTTCTGTGATTGCTTGAAAAGAGTCACTTAACTTTGTTCTGTTTCTGTTTGAAAGGTGTGTTTTTAGAGTAGTGCATTAGCCTGATTTTACTTTTCAAAGTAATGCTTTTAGTTAGAAAAATAAGTCATAGAGGGCCAAGCTCATTAGGAGATGTAATGTCCATAATGTATTTTCTTCAAAAGTGAGAACATTGGATATGTCTGGATGGATACAATACTATTTTGCTTATTGACCTGAACCGAGAACACCATATTGGCGTCCTTTTCAAATGTAGGCCTGAATAGCAAACATCATTTAAAAATAAATCAAGGTTAGATTTTGCAATAACAATATCCTTACAGGAAAGGAGGAATGTCACGAATCTTATTTTTTTAGCTTCTATTTGTATGAAACGTATTTATGCAACAGTTACATATTTTCAATTATGTATCATCCAGGAAAGGGGGAAAATAAAATACAATACAAAATAATTTGAAAGGAGTAGATGAAACTTAAAAATTAGGAAAAAGCTGATTTTATCCTGAACAGCTCTAAAGCCAGGCATTCAGGTTCCAAAAGAAGCTCACGAGAAGCTGGCTAAAAGCATCCTCAAAGTTAAGGGAGATACATATTCAAAAGAGGGAAAGACCCTCTTTCCAAAGAAGATAAAAGTGCAAGCTAAGGTCCAGAGGCCTGAAAAACAGGGGAGGTGGGAGAATTGCTAACCAAAAACCAGTGAAAAATAAAAATTTTGTTATTCGTTGTTGTGTGTCTCCAAGTCATTTTTGGTTTATGGCAATCCTAAATTGAATTTATCATAGAGTTTTTTTGGCACCTTCAATCAGAGGGAAGTTTGCCATAACCATCCTCTGAGGCTGAGAGAGTGTGACTTGCCCAAGGTCACCCAGTGTGTTCTTATGCCGAAGTAGGGATTCGAACCCTGATCTCCCAGAGTCGTAGTCTAGCATTCAAACCACTACACCACGCTGTCTTTAACTTAAAAATAAGATCAGTCTAGATGAGGAAGACAAAAACTGCTCTCCTAAGGTGCAGTTATTTTTTGTTTTACTAAATCCTCTAGATTTTCTTTTTTTAATGTTATTTTTGTATAATCAGTGATCGCATCCATTTTATATAATTACAATATCATTTCAATACATCCTTAAAACCATACAGAACAAACATGAGAAATGATTAACAGGCCTATAATAATCTTATTACTTCAAAATTACATTTCTCTTAGATATCACCTCTAATATTCTTTGTCACTTCTTTTCTGTTTTTGTTGTTATTAATCATACCCTTTTACAATTCTTCATTCTACTTCTTATCTTACTATCATTTCTGTGTATATTCTACCTATGTACCTTCAGTTTCTGATTTACCATTTACTTTCCAGACCACTGTTCTTTCTCACTAGTCCAATAAGAACAAACTTGGCCCAAACATGAAAAATTTATGCTTTATTCTACATACATAAGAAAAATTATATTATGTTATTAATGTCTGTCCCCCTCCTTTTCCAATATCTTACTACTGGATACTAGTCTGCTTCCCATTGTTTTTGTAGATTGTTATTAGTTAGATGAGTTAGTTGATCAAGTTCTGTCATTTCCATTAGTTTCATAATCCAGTCATCTATTAAAAGTATATCTTTTCCCTTCCATTTTTTTGCATAAAGAATATGAGCAGCTGATATCATATATAACAGAATCTTCCAGTATTTAGTTTCCACTTCTTTTTGCAACACATGGGTCATGTTTAGGAAATATAACTCCAGGATCATTGGAAATGTGATTTCTGATATTTGTGTGATTTTCCTATGTATTTTAGACCAATATTCTTTTGCTTTAGAATATCTCCACCACATATGCATAAAGGAACCCACATTTTTGTTACATTTCCAACATCTATTTTCTGGAGACTTGTATAACTTGTTTACTTTTTCAGGAGTTAAGTACCATCTATGATGCATCTTTATATAATTTTCTTTTAAATCTTGACAGAGTGTGTTTTTTTTCCATGAATTTTCCCGTTGTTCAAGTTTCTGATGTCTGTTGCCCACTTTTATCATAGCATCATTCACCACCTCTGTCTTGAGTTCCAATGATATAATTACTTTGTAAAGTTGTTGCTGTGGCACGTCTTGGTTTTAATATCAGAATTTTATCTGTGTCTTTTTTCCACTGTTTCAAAACTTTCAAGCTTTAAATCAAACTTATATCTGTCATAAATTTGTTTGTAGTGGAACCAACTACATTTAAATCCTTCTTCTAAATCCTCTAAATTTTCATGCCTTTTGACTGGCCCCTCTTGATTTTTCCCTTGTTGCCCACTGGAATTTGTTTCTGGACTGGTGTGTAAAATAGAGAAACAAACCTGCAGAGAGAGCTTGCCATTATTTTCAGGAAATGATGCAAACTAGACCTTATCTGGAAAAAGGACATGCCAGGTTCATTGGAGTGATAATTTTGAAGGAATAGCCATCTTTCCTTTCCATACTGGCCCTTTTTCTCAAGTGTCTTGAAAAGACTTTCTCCCCATAACTGTGTTTTCTTTCATCTCAGCACACTCCAATTTTGCTTCATTTTATTCATGTCATCATCTACTTCTTGATCCTAGGACCCAGGGCCACCACCTCCGTCTCCTTTGGTTGGACTTAAACCATTGCAGCTGCTGGAGATCAAGGCGAGGGGGCGCTTTGGCTGTGTCTGGAAGGCTCAGCTGATGAATGACTATGTAGCAGTAAAAATCTTCCCCATTCAGGTGAGTATGGAATTTCTGTTTCTCAAAAATAATTGCTTTCCAGCTGCAATTTGAAGCAGGGAGTTAAAACAGATTCTAAGTCTCTAAGGGGGGAAGCAGACTGGTGGCCCTGCGCCGCCCCGGGAAGGTGCACCGCAGGACCGAGGCAGCCCCACGCCTCGATCCTGCGGCGCTCCTTCCCCGTCCCTGAAAGGAGCGCTAAAATAGTGCTCCTTTCAGAAGTCAGTGAAAGTGCACCCCAAAAGCGTGAGGCGCACTTTCACTGACTTATCCGGCGCAGCGTGTGCAGGCGCTGCGGCGGGAGGTTGTCGCCAGAGCGCCGGCCGTGCGGAGGGCCGGTGGCTCCGAGGGCAACCTCGGGAGGAGGAAGGGGCGTCGAGCGTGCGGCTGCCCCTCCTCTTCCCTGCCTCCAGGACGGCTTAATAAGCTGTCTGCCGAGGCCCTAAGTGGCAAATAATTGTTAACAGAAGCCATGCTTTTGATTTGAGTTGCAAGGTCACACTCTCCCACACAAATCAAGACACAGTGAAAAGACTATTTGTCTTGTTTGAGATGTCACTCCAGACCCTTGGAAAATTTCACAGCTTTGGATATGCCCCTATAGTCCCAGCAGCCCGTAGTATAGATTCAGGTGATCAGATGTCCTAACCACAAAGGAGGACAAGGCACCATAGAATTTAGGACATTCAAGAAAAATGTAGGACATTACAAAACAAAAGCTAAAAATACTCATATAAATATAATTTCTAATTATGCTCGAAATGGAGGACATTTTGGAATCCCTCCTGGACAGAAGACTGAAATATAGGACATGTCTTTGAAAAGGAGAACCTCAGCTTGGTATAGATTAGCAATATCACACCTGATCCATAGATGACCAGTTGTAGACTTGCCACCTGCTGACTTTCCCTCTCACCAGGAAAGGTGTGCATGCTAGCCATCACTTACAACAAAGATACAGAAAAAAGGCTCCTCAGCTCTTCTTTCCCCCCTCTCTGATAACGGCACTAAAGGTTTTGCTAGAGCTCTTCAAGGTGAGCGTACAGCACCTTTTCAGAGGTGGGACCCCTCTTCCGAAGTTCTCAGATGCATTTTCCTCCTTTGTCCTTCAGATGTAACCTGAAAAGGCTACAGTTTTGTATATGCCTCTGCTAGAATTTGATGTCCCTTAACTGGATCTTCTGTTGGTATCTGAAAACAAATGGGGTTGAATCTGTTGTTTAAAATCTACTTTATTTGCCTGTCTCCTTCTGTTTGTGTGTGTATGTGTGCATATATGTGCATGTACATATATGTTTCTGGCTTGCTTTGCTAACTTATTGGTTTGCTGGGTTTTTATATCCTTGAGCTAGTTGGTCCCAAATGTGAAAGCTCCTTTTTTGCTGCTGCTTTCCCCCTGCCACCACATGCTCTAA